GCTTTCAAAAAACTAAATGTCAATTGTCATCTATATATAGTACAACCTGTTTTTTGTTTCTTTATCATCATAACCTTGTTTTTACATTTATTCTTACATTTTAAAGTATTCTTTTAAAATTATTGTTTTCTTATAGAGTTATTTATACTTAATAATCTATCCCAACAATATTACACTAATGTTACCCTATTAATCTTTCAATTTCTTCACTTCTTAACCTTTGGTCCCGTTATCTGTTTATTTACAATTAAAGGTAACCTCCACTTGCTTGTTATCCACTGATATCTTATTATTATGTTATCTTATCCATATTTTAACTTTACTGTAACAATAGTTATTCAATTTTCAATCTATTTATTCGTTAACATTCATTTATTCGTTAACATTCATGTATTTATTTTCTTTTATCTATTTTCTTATCATGTATTTATTTTCTTTATCTTTTATTTCTGTATCTGACAACTTCTTCGTAATTTATATATACTTATATTTATTTTTTATTTTATTTTTATATTTTCAACATGTTTGTATCTTTTGTAGCCCTGAAGAGGACCTGCAAAGTGGGTCGAAACGTCGGCAAAAATTAAAATTATTTATATATTTTAATTTTTTTAATTTTTTTTGACCGCACCCTCGACTAATTCCTTCTCATATCATATCAACGGTCAACCATCTCTACATCATTAATTTGTTTTTAATTGAAAGTTTAGATTTTCTGTTCAGCAGTCTCTATAGTTGGCCGTATCGTCTGTTGAGTTCTTGTCTTTTGAGTCTAGTATGTGGGTTCCATGTTTTTCTTCAGTCTAAGAGAAAGCCATGATACCAGACTGTGTCTGAGAAAGAAAGCTGGATGGAATTAAAGTGTACTGGTGGACAGGAACTGGGTCGGAGTATGAAGGTAATGTGTTGGCATTTGGATTCATTTACTTTAATACGCCATTTATTACACCAGTGCTCAATCAAGGAGAGGTGCCTTTGCAAATCTGAGGAGGCTATCCCGGGATCAGAGTTGGATGATAAGATTGCGGTGTCATCAGCGAATGTTGCAAGGAAGATATCGGGATGAACAGGGATATCAGCGGGGTAAAGAGGTTGTAAACACGGGACCTAAGATGCTACCTTGGGGAACACCAGCTTTAACAGGATATATATCGGAAAAATTCTGATCCACAGCGTACTCGCAAGTAGCGATTAGAGAGGTTCCGATCCTACCTCTAGGACTAGGTTCAAGGACTGAAGTAAATGGATTTTAAGCTTGAAGAGCAATCCGGATCCCTAAGACTAGTATGTATGATGATAACGGGTGCGATGAGCACAACACCGACGACCCCTATGGAGGTAATGTTGAACATGACACTGCTGCAGCTGGAGGTGGAGGCTCGAACAACAAACACATTATACAGGCTAAGCAAGCTGACAAGCTGCTCTTTAATCCAGGGAGATACACAGTACTGCTGAATACAGATGGCTCTCTAACAGCCTTCGGCTCAGGAGCAGGCATCTATCGCAAAGACAACAAAGGAAAAGATTCTATACCACGTGACAAATATGCCTCAGTGTTTCAATCTGAGATACTGGCAATCTGCCATTGTGCACAAAACCTACTGTGAAGCAATGTGACTGGGAAAAAGATTACTATCTATACCGACAGTCAGGCAGCAATAGGTGCTATTAACAATTACGATGTATATTCAAAGGTCGTTAAGGAATGCAGCACAGCACTTAACGAACTAACTGAGCACAATAGAGTTGCAGTGGAGTGGGTGCCCGGTCACTCGGGCATACTAGGCAACGGGGAGGCTGATGAACTAGCCACATAGGGCTCAGATACCATTCCTGTAACTCCCGAGCCTGTTTGTGGGATCAGCCTCAGCACTGCTAAGAGTAGGATCAGGGAAATTTATGAGAACAGGTCCCAGTTAACTGGGCCCCTAAAAAATGATGGTAGAGAAGGTTTGGGAACGGGTTGAAGTGAAACATTAAGAATTAGAGGACCATGTTCAAAGGAAAGTTCATTTATATGTGTAATGGATCAATGGAGGGGACTTAAGCCGCTGTGGATAAAGAAATCAAGAATATCAGGATTACAGTTAGGATCTGTGGGCCAGTAGGTAAGAGAGCTGGGGGAATGAAGGTGAAATGAGTGCAGAAAGCAGGTTTCGGCTACGAGAATTCATGGTTCTGGAACCCCTTTGTTGGTGCTTGGCATTTAAGTCTGCACCCAAGATGAAGTGATGTCCTAAGGAATTGAGGAGAGAACTGAATTGGGCATTGGATATGGATCGGTTCGGAGGGCAATATGCTGACACGAGGCTGCCCGGAAAGGAGAAGGTTTTGATTATGATGGCGGTGGATTGTAGGATGTCTTGTGTAGTAGGTAAAGGTAGTAGGTCATGGGTGAGGGATTGGTGTACAATGACCGCAGTACTGGCATGTGCTTTTCCGTCAGGGTGGTCAGTACGATAGTATTGTGGTATTTTAAAGAGCTGTTTAGTGGTTAGTCGAGTTTCAGAAATTAGTGCCCCATCAATGTTTCTGTCAAGTAATAAAGCAGATAGTTCGTCTGTATGATTTCTTACACCATTTGCATTCCAAAGGAGGATGGATATTTATTTTTATTAGAAGTCATTTAAGGATTTTTGGGAGGAAGGATAAATTGTGATACAAGATTTTTGAGAAGTGATATCAAATGAGTAACAAGAGTTTTGAATTCGGAGAGGAAAGATGTAAGTAAACTGGTGAGATCTGTGGTATTTGATGGAGGAGGAATGTGAGGAATTTGGTGTTGATAGATTTTTTGAGGATTAGACGAAATTTGAATAATAGGATGCTGAGTGTGGGGTTGAGGATCTTGAGGTGTATATCGTTGTTGCGGCAGGGTCTTAAAATTAGATATTTCATTCTTACGTCCTAGTAAGCTTACAAAAGTCACCATCGGATCTATGATCTTGAAAGGTTCTCTTCTTGGTCTTTCTGTTTATTCTTTCTTCCGGGTATTCTGATATCTTGACTTGATATTTTTTTTTATATCTGGCAGCCTTTGGAGTTCGCTGGATGTCCTTCAAGGCACAAAGCGGATACTGCAGGATCTCGTTTCGGTTTTGTGCACTCACCGATTTGTGCTGCTCTCCACACTTCACACAATTGCGGCAAATGATGGTAGTAAGTCTTGGTATGGCTTCTCTACTATCACACCTGTATAATACATTTTTCTTATTTCGTTTACTTTTTCGATACCTTGAATTGGCTCCAACTCTATGAAAAATAAGAGTAAAGGAACTTTTACGCCTGGCTGTTCTTTACTCTCTTTTTGAACATTGGTAACCTGGCACGGTATGAAACATAAAGTTTTTAGTTCTTCTTCTATTGCTTCAGTTATTGTTGAGGGGTGTAGGTTTCTTATAACTATCCTGAAAGCCCGCTCTTGCTGTAATTGATACTTATGGAAATCTGCTTTGATTTATGTTAGGTATTTCACGATTTTTCTGTAAGTTTCAGCTGTATCTGGTGATATTTTAGGGTCCTTGTTCTGCTTAGACATGAATAGCTTCCAGAGCCTGTTATATTGTTTAGTTGAGAACATAGTAACTGATATTTTAAAATGTTTTTAACGAATATCAGTGGCGGGCGGGGTCTCTCGGTATCGGAGCGGACTCCATCACCTCTCTCTCATTCTGAAGCACCTGATAGGGGTTGGATTTAAAAAAGGGAGATTCGTCCATTGTCTCTTGTGACGATGTATCTGGTTGAGGATGAGGTTCTTCAATTTTTTCTTTTAATGATGTACCTGACTGGATTTCATGTTCTCCTGAGCTAACAAGGGTCACTGGGGGTATTTGACGAGATTGACGAGGCGTTTGTTTGACAGGCAAAGAACGAAGTGTCGAGCCTACCGTACGAATTCTCTTAATAGACGCTCTACTAGACATGACCTGATGGAGATGTAGCATAAAAGAAGAAAAAAAAAATTAATTTATAACTGTACACAGTAAATACCAGTTGATCTTATGTACCGTTGACCTGCTTTAAATAAATAATCTCATAGATTACGCTGAAAACCAAGCAAATTCTGAGAGATGAGGTGAAAACACAACTTTTCCCATCAGCTGATCCACTGCCTTCATGGACATTGCGAGTAAAAACAAAAGTTAAAATTTGGAAGTTTTACTGCATTAGTAGGAAACTAATATCGTTTTCCCTTTATGTCCAGCAATTTTTTACTTATTATCGCATTAATAATGTCCGGATGAAGGAAAAGAAATAAAAACCATCTTTTTATATTTAGAGCTGGTTTGTCGGTATCTTTTGTTCAAACCTAACGGTATGTGCTGGGCAGAATTAGGTACTACTAGTAAATCCTAAGACAGCTGAAACATTGGTTTTTAAAAATATACATAGTTGTTACGATGTTTCAAACAATTGCTGGCAATATTCCATTTCGCAAATCGCCAGAAATCGCCCTAAAAACTTGATAGATCCTATTGATAACAAAGGTTTGAACTTGTAAAAAAAGTTTACAAACCTTGGCCGTGGATCGTCCCTGGGGTCAGGAGACTCTCCTGGGACACACCCAGTCTCTATAAAATAATCACCTTAATTAAATAATTAGTTAAGGGGGAAAACATGGCGGTCGAGCGTGATCTCGGTCAAATCATCTCCTTTCATAACCTTTTACCGAGTAACAGTACTTTCCCTAAATAGTGCTGAATCCAAGACCTTTCTTGGGTTGTAGTGGTACAGGTTTTTCTTTTAATAGTTTTAATTTGTGCTTAAGTAAAAACTTAACAAAAGAAATTAAGAAAATTATAATTCTTACATTTTCTATAGCATTTATGATCAGTAGGCGTAGAATCGAGTACTGAAATATTTTATCTTAAAACTAAATCATCTCCTATTTGTATACATGTATTATTGATTTGGAATACAGTTAAAATTATTATCAGGATAATAAATATTTTATAAAATGTCTAATTGATAAAATTTATGTGGATATTTTCTAGGAAATAGTCTCTGAAGTACCATTGGCTGAACTTTTGGGTTATGCTAAATATTTAAGAACTATTACTTCTGGCTCTGCAAGATTGTCAATGGAATTCACTAGTTACAAAGATGTACAGCCTCAAGTTCAAGAGAAGATAATAAATGGTTTGATTTGAAGGCTTTCCTTTAATATTAATTTTCTAGATGATGATGTATTATACATAATTGTTATATTTATTTAAAATTGGGTCCAATTGTTTATAAACTTGCCGATACTTATTAATATTTGTTATTAGTGTATCTTTAGTTTAATATATAAAATGAAATTTATGTATGTTTAATTGATATTTTAGTATTTGTTACCTTGAACTGAATGGTTTGTTTATTAGCAGTCTGAACTGTACTTATCTGTAAAACATTACTTTTTGATTTTATTTGATAAGCTAATAAAAATGTAAATAAAAACATAATTTAAAAATGATGAATCATCTATTCCTCATTGATAAAAATTGAAATAATTTGCTATAGCATTTAAAAGCCTGCTTCATCACTTTCTGTCTTGGCCTATTTATTTCCAGTTATCTGCATGCAGCTCTATTGCATCTTTGTTGATTCTGTCTATCCATCTGCTTTTTGGCCTTCCACGCGATCTTTTGCCTTCTATTGAGGCATTAATCGTTACGTACAGGCTTTCAGATAGAATTGCTACATTGCTAACTTATGGATATATAGGATTGCTACGAGCTACTTGCCAGCCTATCTTGACCTCCGTGCCTTCATATCATGGGGTATTGATTAACTAGTTTCTGTAAGCAGCTCTTCATTGGTCTTTTTTTTCCATGTGTTAGTACTTTGATCTCAGATCCCTTCGGTTATCATACCGAGAATTTTTCTGTCAAATCTTTCAATACTTTTTTCTAGGACGTAGGATAGTGTCCAAGTCTCTTAGCCCTGGAGCCAGGGCCCAAAACTCGATCTGATCGCAGGTGAAGGTTTGACTGCAAGTTACGAAATTGTATGTTATTCTGAGTAAAAAGAACCTTGTCTGCTATTCCAGAGACGCTGCTTTCAAAAATGGCGGCGGTCAGTAACTTTGGGAACAGAAATCCATTCCGAAAAATGTGATAAAGTTTTGATTTTCTTAACTTGTATATATGGGTATAGACATGTAAAAAACAAAAATGTTAACAGCCACCAAAGGAAAACTTATTACAGCCAAAAAAGTCAGATTTTTTTGTTTTTTACTTATAACTCCTAAACGATGTATCGAAGCGAAAAATGTGATCTTTAAGAAATTACAGAACGTTAAATTTTGCATCGCATGATTACATGAACTTAATAATTTGGTTACGTAGTAAGGTATAAAAACATGGTCAACCAATGCTGATTTTTACCAAATTTGACAAAAACTAAGACAAATTACTATAAATGGTCCTGTAACTTGAAAATTAGTCCTCTAAAAGAAAAAGAAGTTGTAGACCATCAAGAATCAAAGTTGTAGAGCATCAAATTTTGCATCCACTGAGTATCGACATTTTTATCGTAGGCCTTATCAAATCAAATTATATATCTCGAATTGGGATTCGTTATTTCTTTATCAAACTCAGTATCTTTCGACACATCGTTTATAAAAATCCTTTCCTGCTGAGATTTGGAAAAGAGACTTATGCTGCTCGTAACAGACTCTTAGCAAAAATAATTCAGAAGAATAGACACCCATACTGTTGAAATATTGAAAATCATGTATATCTTCATTACCAATTTCTAACCATTATGATGCTCTACTATGTGCTTTTGCTCTTTAGGAATTCATTTCCAAGATATAGGGCCATATATATATATATATATATATATATATATATATATATATATATATATATTGTAATGTCAACATTACATGGCATCTGGATAGTGGCGCAAAGGTGGTGACGGCGTGAACTACGGGAAGGAAGTGGGGGAAGCAAGCCTCATGTAACTCAGAATGTGACGGGCCGCCAAGGGAGAAGGTGATAGCGGCCAAGAGAGAAGATTATGAGCCGCCAAGAGAGAAGGTGACAAGCTGTCAAGAGAGTAGGTGCCAGCCAGCAAGTTGAGAAAATAGAAAAAGGAGTCCTAGCCGGTTCGAGTGTTGATAGAGGCCACTAGTGAAGATTATTTTATGTTGGAAGAAAACAACATAGCAGAAAATAATTAAGTGGTACAGAAAACGGGACATTCGTAAGTAAGAAGAGATTATTTCGCTGGCAGGCGTAAACATTTGGGTGAGTGCTAACAATGCCATTTATGTTGACAAAGGGATAGAACCAAAAGTTTAGACCGGGATAAATTATTTTATAAAATATTTTAAATTATAAATAAGTGTAGTTAGTAATTAGTAAATTAATGTAGATTGTAGTTATTAAATGTTGAATGAGTGTTCAGTTGTCCGAACCCAACCTGAGATTTATGTTATGTGTTAAAATAAATAGTATATTGAAAAAGGAAACTCGTTGTTTTGATTTATGTTGACAAAGGGAACGTTACAATATATATATATATATATATATATATATATATAGTAATTCGTCTTGGTTGTTGACATATTTGGTAAAAATCAGGGTTGGTTGTCCGTGGTTTTCTGTCATATAACATAACTAAATTATTAGGTTTAGGTACTCCTTCGACGCAAAATGTAACGTTATTTAATTTATTACATAGAACATTTTTTGGTTGGATGCATCATTTAGGAGTTTTAGGTAAAAAAACAAAAAATGTCGAAAAAATTTGACTTTTTTGGCTGTAAAAAGTTTTTCCTTGGTAGCCTGCATTAGCAATTGTGTTTTTAACATATCTGAACCCATATATACTAGTTCTCACATTTTTCACAATGGATTTCCTGTTTCGATCCTCAAGTTGCTGGCCGCCGCCATTTTTGAAAGCAGCGGCTCTGGAATGGCAGACAAGTTTCTTTTTACTCAGAATAACATACACTTTCGTATTTTACATTCAAATCCTGCGATCAGGTCGATTTTTGGGCTTTGGCTTCTGGGCTATCACAGCCATATATTAGAACTGGCTTTATCATAGAATTGTACACCCTTAATATTAGATTTCTAGAGATTTTTCGGGATTTCAATACCTTTGAGAAAGAGAGAAAACATCTCTGTTTGCTAATTTTTAAACAATAAAAACTTAAATTATTCTAGAGAAATTTATATCATTTATTTATTTTTAATTTGATTATTTTTGTCTGAACACCCCAGCCAACTTCTCTTTAATTATTCACTACAGTCAACCATCATATCACTATTTTAATTTTTCATGGTAATTTTATTGTTAGAAACAATATTTTATTTTCAAAGAAAATTGTTTAAACTGCCAGTTTTCATTTTTTATTCTACTATAACTCCATCTCTCCTTGACTTCACTAGCTTCACTCTTTTCTTCCTTTTATGTAGCTTTGTAATGAAGATCTCCTTGAAGCGTTCTTTCTGCTGACAGGATTTGAGCTTCTATATTTTATTTTATTTTTTTTGTGGTTTAGTACTTTCAAATCCTTATCAGGTATGGACTAAAACTTGCATGGTAAATTCAAAATATTAAAGTTTACCTTGAGTGTAATTTATGGTATATATCTCCGGATCGTACTCGTGCATATTTGTAAATGTAGTGATGATGAATATAAAAAAAAAAAAAAAATATTTTTTATTTTTTATTTATGCCAACGTTTCAACCCAAACCTATGCGTCATATTCAGGGCATGGTTTTTCGGGATTTCAATACCTTTGAGAAAGAGAGAAAACATCTCTGTTTGCTAATTTTTAAACAATAAAAACTTAAATTATTCTAGAGAAATTTATATCATTTATTTATTTTTAATTTGATTATTTTTGTCTGAACACCCCAGCCAACTTCTCTTTAATTATTCACTACAGTCAACCATCATATCACTATTTTAATTTTTCATAATGTAATTTTATTGTTAGAAACAATATTTTATTTTCAAAGAAAATTGTTTAAACTGCCAGTTTTCATTTTTTATTCTACTATAACTCCATCTCTCCTTGACTTCACTAGCTTCACTCTTTTCTTCCTTTTATGTAGCTTTGTAATGAAGATCTCCTTGAAGCGTTCTTTCTGCTGACAGGATTTGAGCTTCTATATTTTATTTTATTTTTTTTGTGGTTTAGTACTTTCAAATCCTTATCAGGTATGGACTAAAACTTGCATGGTAAATTCAAAATATTAAAGTTTACCTTGAGTGTAATTTATGGTATATATCTCCGGATCGTACTCGTGCATATTTGTAAATGTAGTGATGATGAATATAAAAAAAAAAAAAAAATATTTTTTATTTTTTATTTATGCCAACGTTTCAACCCAAACCTATGCGTCATATTCAGGGCATGGTTTGAGCACTGAAGATGACCCACATGTTTAAGTTGAAACTTTGGCATAAATAAAAAATTAATTTTTTTTTTTAAATAAAGACTGCGTCCTGAATATTTATCACCCATGATATATAGAACAGTCAACTAACTTCCTTCAATAATTTGTAAGTTTAATATGTAAGCACATAAATATTGAAAACTTGTGGCATTAAACCTATTTTTTAAATTTATTTATTGGGTAATATAATATTCTGTTGCATAGACAATAATTATAGTGAGGTAAGACAATATTCACACTTTATGCACAGAAAACATAAAATAAACAGAAGAATAATTACAACTAAATAGTAATCAAAAAGTATATACTATGAATACAATTAAAATAACTTAAATTTTAGTAAATTAAAAAAAAAAAACACAGACACCTATATACGATTACACTATTTACAGTCAGGTGAGGGAACTCCGAGGCAAGCTTGCCCTCCAACTAAGGAAGGAAAAAAAGGGAGATTCCTGCTTTATTCTCTCAACACGTCACTCGTGCTGAAGCCAGAAGTGATTGATCGAGAGCTACATACATTCATATCTTGAGTGGAGAATCTAGCCATTGCTAAAACTCCAATATATACATACTACAAAAGGTCGCAGGACCGTTTTAATCTTCTTGGATGATTATAGGGATGGATGGTGCTAGATAGGGATTGTGCAGGGAGATTTGGATGTTATGTAAGCTTCTGCTGAAATTTAGAGATTTTTTCTGGGATAAGATCTAGGACAAATGGGATGTTGAGGACATGGTGTAGATTTTGTTGGTTAATAGATAAGATTGATGTTAGAAACTTTTCCACAGTTCTTGTCTGTTGATACAAATATGTTTCTGTATTGTCTTGAGGATCAGTAATTTGTTGTCAATTGAAAGTTGATATTTTCTACTAAGTAATCTTTATGGTTGGCCGTATCATTGGTTAACTGCTTGTCTTTTAAGTCCAGTATGTGGATTCTATTTTAGTCTTCGGTTGAAGGGAAAGCCAAGA